TAAAAATTACATAAATAAAAAAGTAAATACTTAAGTTTATATGAAGGTGACATGTAAGAGTGAATTGTAACATGTTAGACTAATAGTTGTCAAAAAAGGAAAATGACTATAGAAATAGAAATGACTATAGAAATATAGTTAATGATCTTACTTGATCATTTTTAATAAAAAAGTAATTCTGTGATAAATTGGTTTTGGATGGCAGTAGTCATGCAGTGATTAGGCACTAGTTTGCCATAGTAGCCAAGCCCTGAAAGCAACCAATGTCAGCTGTTTCTTAGTCTGTGAGAGAAGTCATCCTGTGTGATCACAGGTAACTCTCACAAAACCCTGAAAGATAGACATTATTACCTTCAGAATATAATGAGTCAAAACAAAATTGAACACAAAACAGATCTACACTGAAAACATTTTCAGTCTTATTTCTACCAAGTGGAAGAACTAGACCTGATTTCAGATTTTTCATACTACAGAACTGATATTTCTTCCAGACTATTTTCTGTAGGAAAATAAATAGCAATTATTTATAGATAAGGAAGATATTTCATTTAACTAAGATTTGAGACTACATTTTTATAAGTTGAAGATCTTAGATATAAATGAGGAATGGAAATTTACTTGTACTTCCAATGAGGAAACCGTAGTGAAAGATGTGACAAAGGCTTTATATTGCTGAGAGAACAGGCCTGGATCTATAGCCATGCCTGTCTTGGAGGGAGGAGAGCAAGAGACAGTCATGTGAGATAAAAAAGAATATCAATACTCTATGATACCAAGTGATGCCATCTATAATAACATAGTTTAAAGATAGTTATTTATTCCTGTATCACATTCTTAGGGATTGTGTTTATTGCATTGTAATATATGTGTGCTACACTGCATTATAATATTTCAAAGTGATTTTTCTATGGAAAGTTAAGCAAGAGAAAGTAATTAGAAGACACTATACAGGTGTTATAACCATTTTTCAGATGAAACTTCAGATTCAAACTCAAAACTACAGTCAGAGACCTGGTTAGGACTGCTTCAAACTGAATACTCTGTCCATAATTTCTGCCTGGATAATATGCAGAACAATCTGCTCACTTGGAAATATTATAAACATAATTATATGTTTATACATACAATTCTCCAACATCCAGAGAAAAGAGAAATCATAGTTATTTTAAAAGTGGATACATTTCAATGAAGACTAGTAGTAAAGTTTTTATTTTTCTGGAATAATATTGAACTAATATACACATAGCTTCTCATTTTTGATGGTATTAAGTTGAAAAATTTGTATATATTTACAAATATATTTATATTTGGAACATATGAATATATAATAATAGAGTCAACAAATCAAGGAAATTGGCATATCTTTTACTACATACATGGTTATCATTTTCATTACAGAACACTTAAACTACTCAGCATTTTTCAAAAATATGTATCTATTAAATACAGTTAATATGCTGTAAGTCCTCAAGTTTGTTCCTCCTATCCAACTCAGACTTTGTGTTTTTTACTAACATCTCAATCATCCACTCTTCAGCGAGAAGTAACTACCATTCTGCTTTCTTTTCCCCCCACTTAATGTAGTTAGAATATTCTTAGGCTCTATATGCAATTGACAGCATGCAGTATTTGTCTTTTTTTGCTTGACATATTTCAGTTAATATCCTCTAGGTTCATGCATGTTGTTTCAAATAGCATGCTTCTCTTCTTTTCAAAGGGTGAGTAGTATTCCATTCTGATAGGCACCAAATTTTCTTTATTCAGTCATTTGTTCATGAGCATATAGGTTGAGACTACCACCATTGCTATTATATGAAGATTTGTTATCCCTTTGATATGTGATTTAGTTTTCTTTGGGTAACAAATAGGAGGACATTGCTGAATTGTATGCCTACCTACTTGCCTGATTTTCACTTTATTCCTTTAAATTTTTTGCATGATATTTTTCTTACCCTCAATGAATTATATAGTAATTCATGCTTGCTTACTTAACTTCTGTTATTTTCCTCAAGATTTTAACTCTTTTTATACCCATATCTACCATGAGACTGTAGTACGCCTATTTTTCCATTTTATTTTTGTCTAGATTATTAAATAATACTAGAACAAGAATTTAATTGAGCCAAGTGTAATCTGGGAATCCACCACAGCTAAAGAAGTTAAGTTGGATGTTCATATGCAGATCCTTACCCATCCTATATTTTCTGTAATAGGATTTACAGGCATCTAAGATGAATCCCAAGTGACTGGTAATGAGCTACATGAAGACAGATAATACTCAATACTTACAAACTAAAATGTAAATAGACAGCAGCCAGCTCAAATTACAATGAAATTGTGTGAAAATATACTAAACATTAAGGAATCAAAACATATGACATTTTATTTACATCTTCTTGCATTATTACTGATTTTAGAAAAGGAAAATATTCTTCTAGCCATTTCAGAAAAATGTAATGAAAATCAGTCTTGAATATTATTAAACATGAAAAGGAAATCTGTTCCTTCTTAACTCACTTTTACTTAGTCTAAGTTTTATTTTCCCTTTTCCTGGTATTCAAGAACATTCACTTTTATCAAAAGCTACATGTATCAAATCATAATGTATAATTTTCATGATTTCTTGTCAGTTAAAAATAAACTTTCAAAGATTTAAAGTCTCACTCCTGAAAGGTTTTAAATTCTAGCGAAAGAAGCCCTTGTCCTATAAAATTTTTGTTCTATAAAAATGCTCCAATGGGCTGGAAAGTTGGCTCAGTGGTAGAGCGCTTGCCTTGCATACATGAGACCCTGGGTTCGATTGCTCAGCACCACACAAGCAGAAAAAAAAAAGCCGGAAGTGGCGCTGTGGCTCAAGTGGTAGAGCGCTAGCCTTGAGCTGAAGAGCTGAGGGACAGTGCCCAGGCCCAGAGTTCAGGCCCCAAGACCGGAACTCCTCCTCCCCCCCCCCCCCCGCCAAAAAAAATGCTCCAAAAGGGATTGGGAAGGTGGCTCAGTGGTAGAGCGCTTGCCTTGCATCATGAGGTCTTTGGTTTGATTCCTCAGCACCACATAATCAGAAAAAGCCGGAAGTGGTGCTATGGCTCAAGTGGTAGAGCACTGACCTTGAGCTGAAGAGCTGAGCGACAGCGCCCACTTCCTGAGTTCAGACTCTACAACCAATAAAAATAAAAATAAAAAAATGCTCCACAATAGGGACACAAGAGATTTTATCTTTGTTGCTGTTGTTTTTAATATACTTGGTTATTTTTTTGTTTCTTTGTATGTTCTTCCCCCCTGGTATAACTCCTGTTGTCTCTGTATTTGATTCCGGTGCCCTGCATCATGTATATACATTTTTCTAATTTGGGGAGGGGAAAGGAAATAATAAAATGCTGAAATAAGGAAACAGGTTGACCCATTGTAACAATGAGATGTGCAAGATACAACGTTGAAAATGAACTTTACAACTTGGGGGGAGGGAGAAGGGAGGAGTTGGGAGAGTGGGGAGGGAAGGGGATGGTAGGGGAAAAACAAAGGAGGGGATAGGAAATGTACTCTACCTTACTCATGTAACTGTAACCCCTCTGTACAGTGTCTTTACAATAAAATATATTTTAAAAAACAAAAGGAACAGAGAACAATATTCAAATTTTGGAAGTGTATCTCAATACCAAGACATTATCAACTTTTGCATTTCTAGTGTGTGTTAAAATAAAGATCAGAAATTTCCAAAAAGAAAAAAAAAGCTCTGTTCAAGTCCTGGCTGGTGATTCACACCTGTAATCCTAGTTATTCAGGAGGCTGTGATCTGAGGATCATGGTTTAAAGCCAGCCCAAGCAGGAAAATCCAAGAGACTTTTATCATCAATTAACTAACAAAAGAATCAGAAGAGGAGCTGTGGCTCAAAGTGGTAGAGTGCTAGCCTTGAACAAAAACAGTTCAAGGATAGCACCTAGGATCTGAGTTCAAGTTCCACAACTGACAACAACAAAATGATCTATTCATTTCAATACAAGCATAGCTGTGTGCTAGAAATAGACAAAATCTGACTCAATAGAATATATACTATCTTGACTGATTACTTGATTTCTCTTTCTTTCTTCTTTTTTTTAATTGACCATGGGGCTTGAACTCTGGGCCTGGGTGCAGTCCCTGAGCTGTTTAGCTCAAAGTAAGCTCTCTACCAGTTGAGCCACAATGCCACTTCTTGACTATGTGATTTCTCAAGTAAAAATTTAGATGTTTATGAAATTATTGTGCAATAAATATATTAATTTTAAAATGCAAATTTCTCATATTTTCAAAAATCTAAGACTAGATATCCTCTAATATATGTTTTCTTATTGAAATTTCTTGTAATGATTTTTAAAATTTGAAGTAAACTAAATTTTTTCAAATAAAAGTTATTTTATTTTTTATTATTTTTTGCATGTGTTCTACTCCTGGGCTTTGAATTCAGAATCTGGGTGCTATCCCTAAGCTTTTTAGCTGAAGGATAAGTACTGTCCCTCTTGAGCCACAGCTTTACTGCCAGCTATTTTTGGTGTTTAATTGAAGATAAGAATCTCATGGAATTTCTTACCCAAGCTGGTTTCAAACCAGGATCCTCAGATCTTAGCTTTCTGAGTAGTTAGGATTATAGGCATGAGTCTCCACCTGGGTAAAACTTATTTTTATTTAGCAGAAAGATTATAATATCAGTCAATAAAAGCTGGACATATACATATAATATTATCAGTCATGGGGCTTGAACTCTGGGCCTGGGTGGTATCCCTGAGCTCTTCAGTTCAAGTCGAGTGCTCTACCACTTGTGCCACCGTGCCACTTCTGGTTTTCTGGTGGTTAATTGGAGATAAGAGTCTCTAGGACTTTCCTGCCTGGGCTGGCTTTGAACCCCAGCCTCCTGAGTAGCTACGATTACAGGCGTGAACCACCAATGCCAGGCTATTTTGTTTTTTATTAATAGAATTTTCCCTTGTGTAATTATATTACAAGTTCTTCCTTTTTCTTTCAACAGGCTGAATTAAATGACAAGACGGATCCTTTCACTAGAGACAACATAAAAGTTTCAGTAAGTGCAGGGGAAGAAGTTTTTGCTAAGTACATTGGATGGAGAATTGCCAACACACTTTCCAAACTGTTCTTTCCTTGTCCTGATTACGACATCCTTCCTTTGAAGAAACCAGTCATAAAATGCCATCAAATAAATATCAAATATCCAAGTGAAAAACAGGAGCCCATGAAAAGGAGAGTTATACAGTTTTCTATCAGGTAAGTGAAGCCTGGTTAGTTCTTTTTTCCCAATACAAATTTTTTTAAATTCATAAAGTTATAAACATTTTACATTATTTAATTCCACTTGTCTTCTTCAATTCAGATCTTAGCTTTACAACTTCCTAAATATTCTGCCATGGGCAAATCACCCTTGAGCTCCTACTTTCCTTCATATATCTTCATATTTATAATAGGTGGTTTCATAGAATACAAATTAATGTAATTCTTGTGTGAGATATATGTCTGATTAAAAACGAAAATTCTAAGACTTCATTTAAGTATATTTGTACACCAACATTAATGTGTACAGATTTAATGTGCATTAAATATATTTTAGTATTCAATGAGTCAAGGTATGAGAATAATAATTCTATTCTTTGTTTCAAACTGGTACAAATGTTCTTCAGGGACCTTGGACTTGAACAGTTGAGTGATCCGCTTTCAAATGTATTTATTCTCCCTTCAGCAGTATATTTCTTTCTGATTCTTAGTTAACTTATCACATTTCAATGCTTTCCATACTATCACTCTTTTGTGTTATTGTTGTTTTGTTTTGTGGTTCTGGTGTTTAAACTCAAGGCTTTTCCTTGCTCAGCTTGCTTGAGGCACATTTCTGGTTCTGCTTTTTTGCTGGTTATTTTTGGAGATGTTGTCTCCTAATTTTTTCTGCCAGGACTAGTACTCCAGACTTCAACCTTCTGAATAACTAGGATTGGAGATACACTATTTTGAAGTATTAAAAACATAGATGAAGAATCACTTTACATAATATTTACATAGGATGGTTCTACTTTCCATTTTTAGAACATTCAGGAAAGCTTTAATCAAACACAGAAGTTTTTGTATCTTTTAACCCATTAGTATAGAGTATGTAATAAAAAACATGACCATAAATTCAGCTCTCCTTTTTTTTTTCAGCTAGTCATTTGTGATAGATTTGATACTTTGTGGTATATTGTGATTGGTAGTTCTTGAACTATACTTTGATTTTACCATTCTTTATTTGTCTTATTGATCGTGTTTGCTATATCTTGTTAATGTTTTAGAAATTGGAGTTGATTTGCTTTGCCTTTGCATCTATTCACCATTTAATCTGAGTCTTTTATTCCTAGAGGAACTAAATTCAGTACATAAACTTGACCTAATTTGATGATGATGATGTATTTTAAATTGAAAATTATACATTTTATTCCCATTACTGAATATATATTTTAAGTGATTTGTGTTTTTTTCATTGACTAAAGTATTATTGGCTTTTAATGTGTACTGAATATTCTAAAATACATTGTGTTACCTCCACAAATGAGAAGTAAGGTGAATAAATGTAATTTTTTAAAATTAAAAATCGCTTACTCCTTGTAACTATCACCATTATATTTTATTGTTTATTTGTTTGCTTTTTGTCAGTTGTGGGGCTTGAACTTGGAGCCTGGGCGCTATCCATGAGCTCTTTTGCTCAAGGCCGGTGTTCTACCTCTTTCAGTCAAAGTGCCACTTCTGGTTTTCTGGTGGTTAATTGAAGATAAAAATCTGATAGAAGGGGCTGGGAAGGTGGCTCAGTGGTAGAGCGCTTGCCTTGCATGCATGAGGCCCTGGGTTCAATTCCTCAGCACCACATAAACAAAAAGAAAAAAGCCGGAAGTGGCGCTGTGGCTCAAGTGATAGAGTGCTAGCCTTGAGCTGAAGAGCTGAGGGACAGTGCCCAGGCCCAAAGTTCAGGCCCCATGACCGGACCCCCCAAAAAAAATATCTGATAGCATTTGCTCCTGGGGCTGGCTTTGAACCATGATCCTCAGATCTCAGCCTCTTAGTGGCTAGGATAAAAGGTGTGAGCCACCAGTGCTTATCTAATTGTACTTGAAAAATATGGTATGTTGTGTGACTTTTTTTAGAATCTTCTAAGATATCATTCTGTTGGTCTAAGAAAATTCGTAGCATACTCTCTCTGAATCTCTATCGTGACAAATGATGTAGAATTCAATACTGAGTATGAAGTGAGAGCTTCCATCTATTACTACACTTCATTTCTTGTGCCTCCTTTCCTTCCTGTCCTAAGGAATGATATTATAACTGCTCAGTATCTTTTCAAGTTTCACAAAATGCATATATAAGAAAATAAAAACATTTTAAAGTATTTCAATTTTCACAAGGAAAAATATTATTTGACACCATTTTTATGTTAAGTGTATTTTTAATATACCATTTTATGTTATGTATATTTTTTATTGAAAAGATACTGTTCAGAGGGGTTACAGTTACATGAGTAAGGTAATGAGTACATTTCCTATAGAGCATTGTTACCCCTTCCTTTATTTTTCCCTAACATCCCCTTCTGTCCCCACCTTCCCAACTCCTTCCTCCCACACCCCGAAGTTGTAAAGTTCATTTTCAACATAGTGTCTTGAACATCTCATTCTTACAATGGGTCAGCCTGTATCCTTATTTCAGCATTTTGTTATTTCCCTTCCCCTCCCCAAATTAGAAAAATGTATATACATGATGTATGGTACTGGAACCAAATACAGTAAAAACAGGGGTTATACCATGGGGAAAGAACATACAAAAGAGACAAAAAAGTCACATAGTGCCTTATAAGTACATTAAAAACAACAGCAAGAAAGATAAAACCTCTTGTGTCCATATATTGGGGTTCATTTCAATTAGAAATCTTATCTTATATGGTCACATGAGCATAGCTTTTGACCTTTTCTGCTTGCCCTAGACTTATACTAGTTATTTCAGATAAGGGAAACCATGGGACCTTTGTTTCTTTGGGCCTGGCTTACTTCACTTAATATAATTTTTTCCAAGTCTTTCCATTTCCTAACAAATGGGGCAGTGTCATGATGTCATTCTTTCTTGTGGAGGCATAGAATTCCATTATATATACATATATCTATATACACATATATACATATATATGTATGTATATATGTGTTTGTATATATGTGTATATAGATATATGTATATATAACACATTTTCTTGTTCCATTCATCTATTGAGAGGCATCTGGGTTGATTCCATATCTTAGCTATGGTGAATAGTGCTGCAATACACATAGTTGTGCTGGTAGCTTTAGTGTGGTCTTGTTTGTAAACATTTGGGTAAATGCCCAAAAGTGGGATTGCGGGGTCATAGGGGAGCTCTATGTGGTGTCTTTTGAGGAACCTCCATACTACTGTCCAAAGTGGTTGAACAAGTTTACACTCCCACCATCAATGTGGTAGGATTCTCTTTTGTCCACATCCCCTCCAGCATCTGTTGTTATTAGAGTTCTTGATTATAGCCATTCTAACTGGGGTGAGGTGGTATCTCAATGTTGTCTTTATTGGCATTTCTTTTATGGCTATAGAAATTGAGCATTTCTTCATGTTTCTATTGGTCATTCTTATTTCCTCTTCAAAGAAGTGTCTCTTTAAGTCTTTAGCCCACTTATTTATTGGGCAGTTGTTTCTTTGAGGATTTGCTGTTGGGGGATTAAAGTTTTTGAGTTCTAAGTTTATTTTAGATATGAGACCCTTGTCTGTTGTATGGCTAGTGAAGAGCTTCCAATCTGTGGGCTTGCTTTGATCTTGCTAGCTATGTCTTTTGCCATGCAGAAGCTCTGCAGTTTCATGCTATTCCATTTGTCCAAACTTTCTTTGATTGGTTGTGTTCCTAGAACTTTATTAAGAAAATTTCAGCCTGTGTCTAGGAGCTCTAGAGTTTCTCCCATTCCTTCCTGTAAACTTTTCAGGGTATCTGCTTTGACTTGAAGGTCTTTGATCAATTTTGAGTTGATTCTGGTACAGGATAATATATAAGGATCTAGCTTTAGTTTTCTACAGTTTATACCATGTATTTTTTAATTCAACCTTATTTGTAGAAATCTTTTGTTCCAATACACAGGCAATGTTCTTATTATTACTTTTTAAGCCAATATAAAGTTTTTTTCTATGGATGTGCCATAATTTATTTATCCAGTTTTTTATTTAATGGAATTTGGGTTATTCTGAATGTCTTCTACTATAGACAGGATCACAAAAAATAATATTATATTTGTATTTGAGGAAGAATATCTTCAGGATAATTTCTCAGAAATGTGCTTTGGGGGCCAAAGTGCTTAATAAAGGTAGAAGTATTTCTCAATTGCCTTTCAGGCATTGTAGAAATAAGGCATATGAGAGATCTGCAAAAATGCAAGGTTTAACAATCTGAGTCAGAAAATATAGCTTCTTTTTTTGTTAAGTGATAATTTATTTTTTATTGTCAAGGTGATGTGCTGAGGGATTTCAGTAAGATGATGAGTACAATTCTTATCAATCCTGTTACCCTTTCCCTCAATTTTTCCTATTTTCCTTTCTTTCAACCCCTCCAACTTATACAGATTATTTCCAACATATTGTCTTGTGTAGATCACTGTTGCATTGGTTCCCACCTTGTCCTTTGTCTCACCATTCTGTTGTTCCCATTCCCTTCCCTCATTCAAATAAACATATATGCAATACCATGGTACCAAAAACAACAGAGGATATATCATAGGGGGGAGAACATACAAAAGAAACAAAAAATCATATAGTACATTAAAAACAACAACAACAAAGAAAAATCTCTTGTGTCCATGTCTTGGAGTTCATTCATTTAGCATCATCTTATATGGTCATATGTACATAGCTATTGAGATATTTTGTTTATCTGCTAAGATTATCCTAGAGGTATATACTAAGTATTGCAAATAAGGGAAACCATGGGCCCTATATTTCTTATGACCACAAACAAGGCCATACTAAAGCTACCAGCACAACTATGTTTATTGCAGCATTATTTACCATAGCTAAGACATGAAACCAATCCAGATGTCCCTCAGTAGATAAATGGATCAAGAAAATGTGGTATATATATCCAATGGAATTCTATGCTTCCATTAGAAAGAATGATACCACCCGATGTGTAAGGAAATGGAAAGACTTGGAAAATATAGCTTCTGAATGTACTTTAACATTCTTTTAAAAATGAG